AAAATGGATATGTGTGCTAAGAGTTATGCTTGATCAAAGCTGCGACAGAGAAACTGGAAAGTATAGTTTTGACCAAATAAACAATAAATTTCAATGAATAAACTATACTAATTTCCAAGGGTTGAGTCCATTTTTATATTTTTTTCTTGTAGACAACTGAAAGAGCTTCAAATAGAATTTTGAACCACCTCAATATGATTTTTCTATAATTAGTTATGATTTTTTTAAAGTTGAACTAAAAATCTAGAATTTAACCAGTGAATAGTACCCTGAAAACCAATTGCAAATTTTCAATCTATCAGATTGTTTCGTGAATCGCTTGAAACATAACACTTCTAAACATGTACTTTACGGGGTTAAAGGAAGGATGTTTCAATCTACATGGTGATATAGATTAGCATACATCTTGAGATGTGAAGCAGTACCTCGTGTGTTAAAGCCAAGTGCTAAGCTTGGAGTTAAGATAATCAAGGTTACTTTGGTTTATATGCTCACTTTGGTTTGTAAGGTTTTTTATATCCTTTCAAACTATATTGACGTACCATTAGGGCATTATGAAAGAAAAGTATATATTTTGTTATATATCAATTATTGGTGAAGTAAGTATTAGTTTTGCTATTATTGTATGTTTGCATTGGTTGTTCTTCCTTATGCTATTGTAGAGATGAATATTTTGGAGCATTCCCACTGTTATGTTGTTGATTATATTCTTAATCCATGATGGTTTATCTATGCATAAGGCTCATGTGTGAAGACTGGGATTGTATATGGAGGATAAATGTTCTTAAAGCCCATACGACATGCCAACACTATGATAAGGTATTTGGTTTCTTATCAGGCCTTTATAGTTCTACCTTTTCCCAGCCCAGAATAGGGATAAACTCTTGGGTAGATACCTCTTTGGCCTTGGTTAGACCACAAGGTACAGAGGGAACCTATTGAACCGACATGAATAGTTTGGGGTCTATATCAAGGAGTCATAAGAAGTAGTACAGTGGATGAGAGGGGTATAAACTACTGTGTTGATTATTGCATGTGTTTACGTGTTTTTTTAACTTAAGATATTTATGTATGGTATTACTTCACCTGCTTACCATCCTGTTAGTATATGTTGTAAAGTGAGCTTTGGTTACTAAGACTTTATGTCTCACTCTGTTAATCTCATTGTTTTCAAGAGAGCCTTTCAATACCGTCCTTCATGAAGGGGAGCAACTAGAGGCTCAAGCGAGCACAACTTAGTAGGCCTCTCATTGGTTGGGTTTGTAATGACTATATAATTTGTCATGCTAAGGTTCATGTTTTGTATCTGTATATCTAACTATCTCTTCCATACTTTTGGATTACTATATTTTATAGAATATTTACTTAATTCCCAGAGGCCATAGCATTTCTTATGTATGAACATTAAGGATCCAGTTTGTTACCCTTTAAGAAAAACTCACATCTTATTGACTATTAGAATGATTTTGAGAATGTAAGCGTTAAGTAGGTGTGACTTGTGGACTAGGCTTAGCCCTTATTTCTTATGTTCTAAGTCTTTATGTGAGGGATTTCTTTTAGGATGGCTTTGTGGGTTGTTATTGTGCCTTGGGCCTTGCTTGTTATTGTTGTTAGTTTTGTAGACTTTGATTTATACTAAACTCTTTATAGCCCTACTAGCTTTTGATAACCTAGTTAAATTGTTCATCTACCATGGTCAACTTCTTAAACTATTATGAAATTGTGGTTTTAAGGAAATGTATTTTCAATTTCTTTTCTCTTTCTCTTCTTCTCCTTCCTCCTAGGTCGAAAATTCCATCCTCCTCTCCCCTCTATTTGGCTGATAATCTTCATGTAATAGGAGAAGGAGGAGGGATGTTTATAATGCCTCTCAAGTTAACCCTTTATACTTTGCCATCAATCTTGCGCAAAATTACAATGATTATGTGTCATCTTTTCCATGCTTCCATGTAAGTTCAAAGACTTCATTTTGCCCTTAAAGTTGAAAGAAATTAGCATGGCCATATGTCATCACCTCTAAGCTTCCATATGCCTTAACTAAAATGAAAAGTAGTTTAAAATCCAAAGAGGTCTTCTTTCTAATTTTTCCCTTTAATAATTACTAAAATTCTAACACTATCCCTTCATTTGTCATAGTTAGTGGCTCTTTTAATGGTAATTGTACTTAATTTAAATTAAGAGTCCTTGTTTTGAGTCAGTGTCTTTTTGACGATAAAATTATCATAATTGGTTATTAATTGTATTTGATTAATTTTTAGGACAATTAATGCTTCAAATTGTTGCTTTTCATTATAGGACACTTGAGAATTAAAGCCAAGATTAAAGACCAAAGGATTACACAACATGAGAGAACTCAGCGTATTGATTCTGGAATAGCTTGCCACCCCGCCAAGAAGATGTTGCACCACGACCAAGTCTAAAAATATGCATCAGTGTCTATTCTGAAATAGATTGTCATGGCAAACATTTTCCTTTGCCTTGGGCAACTCTCAAAATTTTGCTAAAGCTCCTCTCGGGAATGCTTCGCCTAGGCAAACATTTTCCTTTGCCATGGTGAAACCCCTCGTATCAATAGCATCCGATTCGGATCCAAAGCGTAAAAATGGAGCATCTACTCATATGATCCAACCTAGATTAACCCCTTAAACCCTTAGAAACCCTATTTTTGACATAATACTCCATTCTCTCATCTCTAACACATCTATTCACTCATCTTCTTGTCTCTCCATTTCCACCTTCTTCACCATCCATTTCCTTCACCTTTCCTTAATTCCATCTCATTATGAATGTATTACTTATGATTATTTAACATCGTCAGCTTTACTAGGTTAGACCACAGAATCCATATCCCCCTAAAAATCCTACTACTTTTACTCTATGAGAGCTCGAGTAGCTGATATTCCTTATTACCTTATCTGTAATAGAGCCCGAAATGTGAGGTTCTACAAGAGCAATAATATCCAGCCTATAACCTTAGAGTAGGGATTTTAAAACTTTATGAAATTTATTTGAGGTTGCTCCTTGGTAGTTACAAATAAAAAATCTTTATCCATTCCTAATGAAATTTAGTGCTCCACATCAAAGCTGTTTGATATCATGTCATCATCTAGGCTAATATCATTTACCTCTATAAATACTGATTTGCCTTAAGAAGTGACCGTGGCTCCTAGAGCCTTTACTAGGGCTTTAGTAAGTGCTATTGAAGAAGCCCCAACTTTCTCTCTATGTCTAAGCCTTATGTGTTTTTGAATTTGACTATGGATTGTATTTTAATACCACTCTTCATTGGGCTTTTATTAGGGGGTTTAGGATGGAATTCGCTTTTCCCCTTCTTATTGTTGAGTTGGGCTTAGTGTTACTTAGCCTAATGTTCTTAGGTGCTTTGGGGTTTATCAGGGTGAGAGCCTTCCTCTCATGAAAGAGAGAAATTGTAGTGTGTTGGCTTGTATCCAGCGTTATGGTTAGAAGTATTTCTTTATAGGTTAGTGAATCAAAGATTATAACTTATGGGGATTTGGGAACTACTTTGATCTTGGGGCTGGAGTCCTTATCTATCTTCTTTTTGTGACTAGCCATTGAGTTGATAATCCATTTATGTTTTAGTTTCCTTAGGATATTGCCTGTGGGAAAAGCCCTTTTTTCTTGCTTCTTGTTAGTAGAGGATTTTCCTTGTTGGTGACAATCCATCTCATCCAAGGTAGCCCAAAGGGAAAATTTGCTGCTGCCAGTTTCATCAGGGAAGATACTGCCTTCTCTAATCTTTTTGGTGCTTCTTCTGCCACACAGTCTCTGAGTTGGCGCCTTTATCCAAGCACCAAACAAGGTATCTTCACATTGGCTCCTCATACACCTTCGTTTCAGCCTCAAAATTTTGTTGCAAGGGAACTGCTGGAGTTTGTTCTTGTTCGTTGTTGTTTTGCTCCTTGCTCATCTGCTGGAACTTGACTGGGTAAGAACCTTCCAAGTATCCATACTTTTTGCAACAATAGCAAATGGTAGGTAGTCGGTCATACTCAACAAAATGAGCTATTACATCAATCTTGATCATAGAAACCAGTGGCTTGGTAAGGTCAATCTTCACTACTGATCAAGCAAATCTTGCATTGTCTACCCTTTCAGCATTTTAGCACTTGGCTTGTTACTTGGCCAATCACCCTTAGCACACTTTTGTGGTAATAATGGTAAGGGAGGCCCACGAGCTGTACCCATTCATGGACTCATTAGATCTGCAGGCTAAGTGGTGAGAATGTTAGTTCCCATGGATGTACAGTTAAATAGTGGCCTAGAACTATTAGAGGACCCCTTACCATTACATGTTAATAGTCAAATTTGCTTGTGAATTTCACCATATAACACCTACTACACTACAAAAAAAACAAGCTATTAGCGACGGAAATTCCGTCGCTAAATCGATTTGTGACGGAATTTAGCGACGGAATTCTGTAGGTAAAGTATTAGCGACGAAAAATGTTCTATCGCAAACAGCCTCGTCACTAATTGGTTTAGCGACAGGCTTTGTGTTCCGTCGCTAATTTTGGGACGGATTTTCCGTCGCTAATTTTGCGACGGATTTTCTGTCGCAAATTAGCGACGGAAAATTCCATCACTAACTTGCTGTGTTTTGCCATGGAATTTTTCATTGCTAACTCACACATTTGTGATAGAATTTGCGACAAAAATTCCTTGCAAATCAGTCACAAATTTTTTTTCTTCAATTTTTATGCTTATTTTTTGATTTACAACAAAATTTTGTCAGTTATTTTTTTAAATAGGTTTTTTTTTATAAATTGTTTAGAAAGAAATAAATTTCATGATAACAAGTAAAATTTTTAAACTGCAAAGAGTTCAATTTTTTTTATAAGAAACAATTTGGAATTTAAAATAATCCCATACAATAAAATATAAATTTAAGAACATTAAGGTTAATTGTGCAGGTGACGGAGTACTCCATTGCCCTCTACCACGCTTTAGTCGACGGCTTGCCATTTGCATATTCAAAATTAAATAAATGAATAAAAACTAAATCAATAAGAACTAAATCTTCTTTAGAAATTAACAAAATTATAATCTAATCTAAATGAAAAATAAATAAGAAGTTAATGCAATCAATCAAACTGAAAACTAAATAACAAATGCAATGTCACAACCATAATTTATACATCATCTTCATCTTCATCCATATAAGCATCTTTCTCACCATCTTCTGTTTCTTCATCATCTTGAAGTTCCTCTTCTTCTTGTGACCCATTTAGTACACGGATTTTTGGCAATAAGGTGATTGCATTGCATAAGTAAGAAACTCCTCTACACCTTGATCAAATTTTATTGTAACCCATTTAGTACACGGATCTATTCTATTATACATCCATCTCCGATTTTCTGGGCCTTCCATTCTAAGAAAGAGGTGTGCAATAATAATATGTGAGAATTGGAGAAGACAAGTAATATATATGGCAAACAAACACACACACACACATATGTGTGAATAAGCAAAGTTAAATGTCAACATTTGTATATGAAGAAACTAACAAGTTTTATTTAAGGACAACTCCTACCAAAGACAAGACTTGCTAAACAATCATTAACAGATAGCTTTGAAGTACAAAAAAAAACTAAAAAAGATTCTGAAAAATGTAAGAGATAGGAATGTATTGAGACTACCTACCAACAAAAATCAAACAACATATATCAAGCTAGATAAAAAAAACAAAACATTATACGTAAACCCAACTAACAGTTAAATGGTCACCTTACTTGAATAGTTCTACAACTTGTGTTTGGGTTGCCACTAGACCTCTAGCTAACTCTATCAAAGGAGCTGCTGTATCTCAAATTATTATAATCCAACCCTACACACACAATCAGGTCAACAAATTAAAACCAGAAAAAAAAAAAGCATTCACCAAGCAACCAAGCATTTCAATAATTGGTAAATATAATATAAATCAAGCATAAGCAACCAAGCATTTCAATAATTGGTAACTCTATACATAGAAATATATACATACATCATAAGTCCCTTAATATTCTAAGCAACCAAGCATCTCATGTAATGATAGATTTTACATGTATTTACCCAATTATGGCATTGCAAAAGTGATGTAAATCTGCATAATAGTTATGGAATGCTCAATTAGTAGGAAACTGTTTTACTGTTTCAGGTAATAATGCTCATAATGTTTGAGGCTGAAATTATAGGCATTTTGGATCAGATGTTTGCAATCTTTTTAAGTTGTAATCTACTGAGGGATTAACATCTCAGCTCTTGTTTATTTCCTTTGGAATGATCAATGCATATAGTTGGGGCTAGACCTGTAGTAATAACTCAAAATCAGATTCTAATCTGATAGGATCTTTGACCATCCTAATGAAATGACATCCTAACAATATAAAATTAATAATACAATTAGGAAAAAATTAGAAATCATTAAAGCTAATAAACCATAATAAATTAAAGTGCTAAAGTTTTAGTGTTGAAACTGCATGCATATTGAAAGAATTTTGTAAAAGTATAAGTTTAGTGTTGGAATTCAATTGATACATGTTAGTATTGATATACTGGTCCCCATGAGGTTCTCAATGAAGATTCCCCTGCTACAAGTATTTTTAATTTCTTTTAAATCATGATGAGTCTGATACATCATTTGCTTGCTAGATTAATAGTATTCCAGTATGTTTTGGCCATATCCAGGCAATACTCTTCATTTATATTTTACACTGACAGGCTCATCATAAGTTACCAAATGCCTTGAAGCATTGCAACTATCAGAGTGAAATCTATATCAGCTTTACATGAGGGGGAATTTTTTTAGTTAGGTAATTGAATCTATAATGCAAATAAACAAACTAGGATGCTTTACACATGATTAACTTGCAACATTCTCATTTCATGAGTTTTACGTCAAGAGCAACCAAATGCTTGTGCCATCACCATTACACAACACTCATCCACTGACTATGATGAACGTAATATGGAAGCAACAACACAATCAGATGTTTGTACTTTGATAGCTCGAAGAATGAGCTTTCTTAGATAGAAGCCAATTCCAATAATACAACAATAAATATAAAACGAATAACCGAAAAAAGCAAATGAAAGCAAAAAGTCTCAATTTACAGAAGTTACGAATAAGGGTTGGGAATTACAGATGTTTGTATACAACAATAAATATAAAATGAATATAAAACTCCAATAAAAAAGCATATATATCAAAGACCAGTATACATTAAAGCTTGCCTAAATGTGTACCTCATTTTCCATCTCCCACAATGAATTGCAAAGAATCCAATCAACCAAATGAAGTGCTAATCCTCTGCAATGTCACTAGTCAAGGCAGTACTAAAAGGCAGTTACTTAGTACCAGTAGAAATATTTTCAACAAAACTAAAAGGGAGATCTGAACCTTGAAATAAAAAGTAACCCACAAATAAAATGAAATCTAAAAGGGAATCTGAACCAAAAGATGAAAACAAGAAATAGAATGCCAAGAAGCTACCCAGTGACGAATCTGAACGCTGAAGATGAAAATAGAGGAGGCCGACAGAACGGAATAGAATCTAAACTTTGAAGAGGAGACTGAAGAATGTGAACGGACACAACACGCGAAAGGAAGGCTAACACTTTGAGTCTCAAAACCTGCACATTCAGGCGCGATTTGATCTGAGGAGGAGAAATGGAAGAAGAGTAGGAGTGGAGGATTGGAGGCGCCTTTGCTGGACTGGCAGACGATGGTGAAGGGGTTTCATTAGAGAAATAAACCCTTAGGCGTTGAGGAAACCCTTAGAAGTGGTTTGGCTCCTCCTCTTGCGATTCTTGTAATTTTTTAAAAGAAGGAAATTAGAAAAAAAATCCTACAGAGAGCAAATTTGTGATATTTGTGGAGGGAAAATGAATTTTTCCTTTGCAAACGGAGGGAACATGCGAATATTTTGGAGGGGCAAGATTTTTCACACACATATAGATATAAAATCTAATTAAATGATTCTTCAGTAAAAAATTATAAAATAAAATTGTCATTATAGAAAATATACTTAGCATTAAAATGATAAATTAATTATTAAAATTATTCCTTTTAATTATAATACCTCTCTCTCACATATATTATCTCACTTTTAATTATATCACATCTCTCTCACACACACACACACTCTATCTTTCAGTACCTTCCCTCTCAACTTTCCCTCCTTTTTTTTACCATCAATTTTTGCTATCTAAGCATGTAATTAGAGAAAATTAATACATACCTCAAAACCTAAATAGTAATAATAATATAGAAATACTGTCCAATAATGTTAAGCTAATATCATACATATATATAGTGATATAAATATAAGATATATCAAGAAATAAGCATTAAAAAGAATATAATAATGTTAAAATAAAAAACATAAATATGAGACACTTTAATGATAAAGATTTAAACCGCAGTTTATTTGAAATATTTTTATCAAATTTAATACAAATATATTTGAAATCTTTAACAATAAAATATAGATATATTTAAATATGAGATTTACAAATTAAATTTAATCCACAGGATTATAATGATAGGGGCAGAATCTCTAACTTATATGTTACCAGGATGAAATTTTTTTTTTTTAAGTAAAGTTGTCAAGCTTTTTATAATATTCTAATCAAATATTTTTAGATCTAATAAGATTTTTCTTATTATAGTCTTAGATCTACTCTATAATCTCTAATTTTCTTTTCTAATTATCATTTCTCAATTTCAGGATGACTAAAAAGAAATTCAAAATATTTATAATTATTGTTTTAGAAATTCAAGATATTGATTCTCTTTTTATACTTTACCATCCCCTTATTTATCTTAGATATTCTTATATATAATTTCATTATCAAATGAGCATTTACTATTACTCCAAGTCGCAAACGAGAATTAGGATACACACACACACTATAGATTATATTTAATAACATGGGCCATCAGTTGAGTACTTCAGTCAAATAATGAAGCTAACCCAACATACTCGCTTTTGGATCTAAACTAACCTTGCCAAAACTTCTTTTGAACTTTCTTTGTTTTCGCATAGATCAAGTATATGCAAATTGAGCTAAATTGACCTCGTTATTAGGTTTCCAACTTAACTCTATAGTTTATGGCACCCTTATTATTCATTCAATGAAAATAAGTCAATAAATAATATTTCAATATGTTGTTAAATAAGTTATCAATTAGGTAAAAGTTCAACATGTCTTTACGTTTTCCACATATCTCATCATATCTAAAGAAACTTTTCACATATCTTATCATATCTAAAGACACTTATTTGACACTAATGTTGAAAGAAAGAACAGCAATCTGACAAAAAAATTAATCATATTGTAACAAGAAAATAAAATCATATTACGAATTATATTCAGGATTTTAATTTAAGTTCACAAGCTCAAAAAAATATAATCAATTTCAAAAAAGTGTCTAATAAGGATATCAATTTTCTTCTATTTACCAACAGAAAATATGTATAAATAATTAAACTATTATATTATATATATATATAGATATATAAATTGTTAAAATACATGTCTAAATAATTACACTATTATATTATATAAATTTTTCAAATTTTATAATCATAATGTAGAATTTTGTGAATTTCATGTTAGCAATGGATTTTGTGACAGAATTTTGCGACGGAAACAAATTCTGTCAGAAAATCTGTCACAAAATAGGAGTAGAAATTAGCGACAGAACTTAGTGATGGAATTAGCAATGGAATTTTGCAACGGAAATATTCCGTCACTAAGCCTATTTACTGATGGAATTTGTGACGGAACTATTCCGTTGCTAAAGTCCGTCGAAAAAATTACCAACGGAATTTCCGTCAGAAATTAGTGACGGAAAATATTCCATCACTAATTCCGTCAGAAATTAGCGACGGAATTTTTTTTTCATGGCTAATTCTGTCACTAATAAACTGTTTTTTTGTAGTGCTATCTAGTTTGGTGGGTTTGAAATCTCTGGTCGGCAATTACATAGGAAGTATTTTTGAGTGCAGCATGTCTCGGCGGATGTAATAACCAAGAACTTCCACTCCTACTGCAAATCTCATGCATTTAGTCATGAATAGCTTGACTCTCTTTGAGAAGTTGATGGTGGGTATAAGACCTTTCCATATTGATAGTTACATCTTCATGTTCAATTATCAATTCTTCTTTCAGGTTTCCTCAGTTGTTGTTGGTAGGATGCGTTGCACCTAGCAGCTTGTCCTTGAACAAAGGGACACTGTGTTCAAATGATGGAATTTCACCATTGTCTTCCTTTAACGTATTTGTCTATTCAGCATTGATTTGCTCCACTTTTTCAACTCCATTGCCCATCACTTCATCTTCATTAAAAAGTTGCCTTTGAATACTAGGCCAGTCATTGCCTACTATGTTGGTCATGACATTCTCTTCCATATCTGTTGCAGTAGTTATTTCTCCTTTGTCTCAAAGCTTCACCTTCTTGTTTGTGCAATTTTCCTTCATTTTGGGTGTTCGGTTGCCCTTACCCACAAGTTCGACATCAACTGTGCATTCCATGACTAAAGCTTCCTTACCGCCACAACACTACAAAGTGCATTGTTATGGCCTCTTTGCTCCTCCACTGCAGTGGGTGACGGAGGCAATCTCTAACTCCTCTGCCATAGTGGGTGAAAGAAAGACACTAACATTAATCCCAAGAGAGAGCGTCCCTCTCTATTTCAAGAAGTGTATAAAAAAGTACTTTTTTGATGAACACCCTAGTCTAGCTTTTTAATTCCAGGCTAATGTCCTTTTTTATAACTAAAAAGGACAAAAAAAAAAGGTCTATTACAAAAGCAAGAAAGCATTATTACGCAAGGATAATAGGGAATGGGGGGACAGGATATAATAGCTTGGATTAAAATGCCATTAAATTTGTTGAAGAAATTGTGAATTTTTGTTTATTTATCACGCTTGGATTTTTTTTTTCAAGCAGATTTTTTATTCGTTTGCTTACATAAGAAAATAAACCATAAGAATTGAATAAAAAAGTATAAAAATATTATTTAAAATTACATGAAACTAGACATACTCATACAATAATTTTCTCTTTTATTTGAGACTCTTCGAATGCTTTCCATATTTTCATGCCTGCTCTAGTATTAACTTAAGTCACCTTACTTTATCTTGATGCCAAAAAATAAAACTACATATTACTTCATCTGGTTCTTATTAAAAAAATTCCCACGTATTTTCTAACATATTTTATCAAAAATATTAAATTTTTACCAATTGTTCCCTTTTATACTAGCACTTATAGCCCATTTGGTTTGATTATATGAAAAGGGATTATATGTAATCCTGATGCAAATGACTGATTCAAATGTTTAATTAGACTTATGTAATGTAAAGGGAATTACATTTTGTAATACTAATTTACACTGCTAAGACATATGAATGGGGATTAGAGCATGTGGGAATATGAAAAAAGACATTATTTGCCTTTGCCTTCTCCATCATCTTCGTCCACCCTAATTCTTGCCAACACCCCTCTATCAGTGACCTTCTCATATGCTTTTGCTTCTCCTTTACTAGCAATCCTTCCTTTCCCTTACTTTTGACATTATTTTCCCTTGCCTTCTCCATCATCTTTGTCCACCCTAACCCTTGCCAACACCCCTTCATCAGTGACCTTCTGATACACTAGTGCTAATCCTCTACTAGCGATCCTTCCTTTCCCTTTCTCCATTGATGAGCTGGCCGGGCAACATCTATTAGAGAGAACAATGATGCCTCTCCATATCTCATCAATACCAAATACAAACTCATGTCATCTTTGCTTGATTACATCATCTTCCTAGTCTAGCTCCATATTTCAGATGGATAACTTCATAAATAAAATGACACGCTACTTGATGCTCTAATAAAAAACAAATCAGTGGGGGTCTCATGAGATCTATGTTGACTGTTAGGATATGGCATTGACGGAGATGGAACTTTGGGACCTCTCTATGCCCAAGAAGGAATTATTTTCACCCTGATGTTCGAGCTTCCAATTGAAGACAAGGAGGAAAGCACGATGTGTGAGAAGGGTAAATAAGGGGATAGGAGAGAAGGTTGTGATAGTAGTTGGGGAAGATACGGGAGGAAGCAATGAACCACTGAGAAATTCCATTTGTGTAGGTATATTTTTGTCCTTTCAATTTTCGTTATATTTGATTAAATGTAAATAATAGATATAATTATATCATTCTTAATGTTGAACCAAACAAGTTAAGTATAATCATCATTACATTACAATACATTTTCAATCATTACATTCCCACTAATTCCATGAACCAACAGAGCTCTTAGTGTTCCTAACTAATTTTAATAAGCTTTATTAATTTATGTGAACTGGTTAATGAGTGCTTATTTTACGTGGCTTATTTTGTAACATCCTAAATTTTGAATATGAGAATTACAAGTGTATTCCTATGAATTGAATGATCATGAGTAGCTTTCGATAGCAAATTAGTTTGAATGAAGCTTGGAAACACAAAGGGCAATGATTGCAGATGTTACAACGAAAATTGGAGAAGGAAAATATAACATCCTGATTTTTATCCCTAAGATTTGAGCAGTATTAAA